CAATTCTCCTGCCTCAGCCTCCTGAGTAGCTGGGATTACAGGCACACGCCACCATGCCCAGCTAATTTTTGTATTTTTAGTAGAGACGGGGTTTCACCATGTTGACCAGGATGGTCTCGATCTCTTGACCTCGTGATCCACCCACCTCAGCCTCCCAAAGTGCTGGGATTACAGGCGTGAGCCACCGCGCCCGGCCCCTACCCACCCTCTTGAACGGCAGCCCCGCCCAGCTGTGCGCCCCACTGTTTCATCCTCAGAGCCCTTCAGGTTGACCCAGGAGGGGCTTATCGCAAAATCTTTACTGCAGCCCTGAAAACCTCCGTGACTGGCCACCAGTCACCTTCCCAGCTTTGCCCCACTCCCCGTGCTAAAGTGGACCGGCTCACTGCTCCTTTAGAGGCTCCATGCTCCTGCTCAGATGTCTGTGACTCTGAACCCTTGTCCTGCTTCCTTTCCTGGCCAGCCCCAGGCATTCCTCCAGCCATGTTTATGGACCACCTAGGTGATGAGGGCACTTGGGGTCTTCTTCTTCCTTGTCTGATTCTCCAGTAGACCCTAAAGTCCCGGTGATGGTGGGTGTCGGAGTGCAGAGGGCCCGATGGCCTGGCTGTGGTGGGGGTACAGGCCAGGGGGCCAAGGAGTGGAATTCAAGAGTATGTTTGCTTTTGCATGCCCAGGAAGGATGAGTTCTTAATATTTTACTTCTTAAGGATCCTGTTTTTCTTTATTAAGAAGAGAGCCTAGGCCAGACACAGTGGCTCACACCCATAATCCCAGCATTCTGGGAGGCCAACGTGGGCAGATCACGAGGTCAGGCGTTCAAGACCACCCTGACCAAGATGGTGAAACTCCATCTCTACTAAAAACACAAAAATTAGCCAGGTGTGGTGGCGGGCACCTATAATCCCAGCTACTTAGGAGGCTGAGGCAGGAGAATCGCTTAAACCTGGAAGGTGGAGGTTGCAGTGAGCCAAGATTGTGCCACTGCACTCCAGCCTGGGCAACAGGGTGCAACTCTGTCAAAAAAAAGAAGACAGCCTAAGTGCGAGCGTGACCCAGACTTCTGGTGTCAGTGGAGTAGATGAGCTGGTGGGTCTTGCAGTTGGGGTCCGCAGGGCACACTCGAGCAGCACGTGCTAGGACAAGGCAGGGACGTCCGTCCACGCGGCCCTCAGGCTGCCGGCACTGCTGGGCTTCTCACAGTGCCAGGCTTGTGTGCCAGGATCCCGGGGGCCTGAGCATGGGGCATCGCAGCAGCTGATGCGGGCGCAGCCCTGGCACACAGCTGCGTGAGGCTCGAATGCTGACGCTCCCTGAAGGCAAACCCTCCGATCTGGATGGTTGACATGGAGTACAGTCTGCGCTCTTCAGCTCTGTGTCGGAGTCATTTTTCTGTAGAATTCCACACCTGCACTTGAGGTTTGTTTTTATAGAAACTGCAGTGGCTGAGTATAGACCGCTTTTCAAGGATGAAGTCACGTTTACTGCGTTTTAGAGAACCCTTGATGTTGGCTCTGCATTCTGCTTTGAAACGGTGCCATTGATACAGATGCAGGGCCTGTTTTAAAAATAGCCTGTGTTCCCTGGCTGCTCGTGGTAACGCCTTCTGTTTAGTTGTGCCTGGTCTGGGCATGCAGTGCACCTGTGTTGCGTGTTTTCGTCTCAGGGCCCCTGCTGTGCTGGGGAGTCCTTGCTGGAGACTCCCCATTCCGTGCCCGAGGTCAGGCACTCCCTTGCGTGGCCTTGTACCATCCCAGGGAGGAGTGGCTCAGTGCCGTCCCCCTCTTAACCTCAAAGGCCTTAAGCTTAGCATGAGGCACCGCGTGTCCTAGGCCACCCTGTCTGTGACTCATGCTTCATTTCAGGATTTGCTAAGTTACAAAGGGCATCTCTCAGACCTCTGTGGATCAGGTTTTCATTAACTTTCCACTGCATCTCCCGATCACCCATGCCAGCTCAGTGCATGGTATTGGAAGGTAGAGGTACAGGAGGCTTCCAGCACTCACTAGAGGAGCCGGGTGATTTGGATGTTCACTGTTGTCACTGGTATTGTCCCCCAGCAAGTAGACTTGGTGAGCTAGTTAAATATCCTTCTGACCATGTGTAATTGATTAAAATAAAGGGACAGTGACATGGAAAGAGCTATTCTTTAGAGAAATTATCCTTACTTTTTTTTTTTTTTTTTTGAGATGGCGTCTCACACTGTCGCCCAGGCTGTGGTGCAGTGGTGCGACCTCGGCTCACTGCAATCTCCACCTCCTGGGTTCAAGCAGTTCTCCTGCCTCAGCCTCCCGACTAGCTGGGACGACAGGCATGCTCCACCATGCCCAGCTAATTTTTTTGTATTTTTAGTAGAGATGGGGTTTCACCATGTTGGGCAGGATGGTCTCAATCTCCTGAACTTGTGATCCATCCGCCTCGGCCTCCCAAGGCGCTGGGATTACAGGCGTGAGCCACCACGCCCAGCCAAAATTATCCTTACTTTTTAGAGGTTAGCTAACATCAGGTTTCTTGGAAAGAACAGGAAGAATAACACTGCTTTTATGCCCAAAAAGTAACCCAAACCTGTCATGTTTGTCTCTTCGTGGTTAATAACAGCCAGCAAAGGTGCTGAAACCTAGATATTTAAAAATAGACTTCCAAAAGGAGAAGTGAATTCAGGGGCCCCCTGGGGCCCACCCCATGAGCACCCGGTGTCGCCCACAGCTTGCGAGGCGGCGCAGTCATTCCACAGCTGCGTTGAGCATTCAATTCCAGCCTCACAAGCTCTATTTCAAAATGCACATCCTTTTTCAAAGTGAAAACCCTTTAAGTCCCTGGTTTCATCTGATAGGTGGACACCCCAGCCCCTTAACACAGACTAGGCCGCCAGGGCAGAGCACAGCTCTCACCCCTCCAGGTAGTGACAAGTAGGAGCGGCCCGTGTGCTTTGGGGAAAGGGCTTTCTGAATTAGTTTAGTGAAGTAGCATAAAGTCAGGCCTGGCTGCTGGCAGACACGCATACATGGCAGGGTTTCTGTGTTTCTGCCTCCCTCGCTTGGAACTGGCAGTGTAAGTGTGGAGCTGGCGGGGGAGGACCCCTGAGTATGAAGCCGGTGGGGGAAGGCCTTGAGAGAGGAGCCAGAGGGGAAGACCTCTGCTTCTGTGGCATTGGCACACTGAGTTTCACCCAGGTCCTGAGGCACACACCTTGGGGCCGTTTCCTGCCACCAGCCAGGTGGGAGGGGTCTAAGGATTAGAAGTCTTCTCCTGGGACCCTGGAGTCATTCTGGGGCAGAAGCACAGCCCGGCCCCAGACAGCGGAGACCTCTACCCAGTCACTTAGGTTTCCTGATGGTTCTCTGTTGACAAAGCAGACTAGATGTTGTGGAGCCTCCGGTGGTCTTCTTCCATCTGGCTTCACATCACCTCCAGTGCTCCCTGCCGGCATAGGCACTTGTTCCCAGGGAGTGCCCAGGAGGGCCGACGCAGAGCCCACCTCCTGGAGTCAGAGCACGGTAGCAGGCCTCATGCGGGGGCCTCTGCGGCTGTTCTGCTCCTAGCCCATCTGTATTTAATAGGGGGCGGCGCAGCATCTTCCGAGTCCTAACTGTGTTTTGCTTTTTGACACCTTTGGTTTGGAAGCGAGTGATAGACAGCCAAGCAGAGAAACTGAAGGAGCTCGACAAGGAGATCCGGCCCTTCCGGCAGAACTGGGAGGAAGCAGACAGCATGAAGAGCAGTGTGGAGTCCCTCCAGAACCGCGTGACCGAGTTGGAGAGCGTGGACAAGAGCGCAGGGCAGGTGGCTCGGAACACAGGTGAGGCAGGGGCTGGGCCGGGCCGCGGTGTGCATCCCGCCCCAGGCGAGAGCTGCAGCTGTGGGATGAGGCTGTGTTAGGTACATGTGCCTTAAGATAGTTCTTTCCAGTTATGGGAAACACACAGAGCTGCGTGCCTTTCCTGCTGAGAGTCCCCCAGCAAAGACAGAAACGTTTCCCACGTAGGCTTGTCCCCTCCAAGTGAGGCCTGACGTGGGGTAGAGAGTGGGGGCAGCTGCAGCCACAGGAAGCTTCGGAGGCTTCCCCAGAGAGAGCAGCCACGGGGGACCCGCAGGACAGGTCCAAGTGCAGACGCAGCAGGCAGGGGCCAGGGCCTGCTGGTCAGGATGCCCCAGACCCCACTCCTAAGGGCTGAGCGGGGCAGAAGCCCCGCTGCGCTCTGCCATCACGTTCTGATCCACAAGCAGATGTGGGCCTGTGGCTTTGGGGCTTGAAAGAGTGTTGTGAATATTTTACATGAAAAGGATTAATGGCAGAAAGGAGCACAGATTACCATGGCGTATGTGGGGCTGGATTAAGCAGGCAGAGGATGGGGTTGGAGGAGAGAAGGGAGCAGCTTCGCCTCCGAGAGAACAGAGGCCACCTGTGGGCACTGAGGCCAGAGGGAGGGTGGGGATAACACGGCTGTCTCCTGCCCCCAGGGGCTCCCACCAGCGGGCTTCCCAGGACACCACAGTGGAGAGATAGTGCGCTGTCTTGGACCCTGCAGTGAGGTCTGTCCTATGACACACGGGCAGGTCACCCACCCGGGGCATCCCCTCCCAGCAGGCTGTGCCTGGTAAAGTGTCCACCCAGACAGGGCTGTAGGCATGAGAGCTGTGGCAGAAGCGGAACAGGGCCCTGGGAGGTAAGACAGTTGTGGCCTCAGGGCATCTGTCTGCACAGCTTTGCTGGTGTCACTGCGGTAGCCACAGTGAGTTTTATATTGTTGCTTAATTGAGACACTAGTGTGACTGGGCGTGGTGATGTGGCCTGTAGTCCCAGTGATTTAGGAGGCTGAGGTGGGAGGATTGCTTGAGCTCAGGATTTTAATGCCAGCCTGGGCAACAGAGCGAGACTTTGCCTCTTTAAAAATTAAAAAATGGGCCAGGTACGGTGGTTCACGCCTGTAATCGCAGCACTTTGAGAGACTGAGGCAGGCGGATCACCTGAGGTCAGGAGTTCGAGACCAGCCTGGCCAACATGGTGACACCCTGTCTCTATGAAAAACACAAAAATTAGCCAGGCGTGGTGGTGGGCACCTGTAATCCCAGCTGCTCTGGAGGCTGAGGCAGGAGAATCGCTTGAACCTGGGAGGCGGAGGTTGCAGTGAGCCAAGATGGCTCCAGCCTGGGCGATAGAGCAAGACTCTGTCTCAAAAAAAAAAAAAAAAAAATGAAATAAAATAAAAAGTGCTGGTGTGGCTTTGCTTTTCTAATCCTTCTGACGTTCACCTGTCTTACTCACCAAATCCCTCCTCGCCTGTGGCAGGCCTGCTGGAGTCCCAGCTGAGCCGGCACGACCAGATGCTGAGCGTGCACGACATCCGTCTGGCCGACATGGACCTGCGCTTCCAGGTCCTGGAGACCGCCAGCTACAACGGCGTGCTCATCTGGAAGATTCGCGACTACAAACGGCGGAAGCAGGAGGCCGTCATGGGGAAGACCCTGTCCCTCTACAGCCAGCCTTTCTACACTGGCTACTTTGGCTATAAGATGTGCGCCAGGGTCTACCTGAACGGGGACGGGATGGGAAAGGGGACGCACTTGTCTCTGTTTTTTGTCATCATGCGTGGAGAATATGATGCCCTGCTTCCTTGGCCGTTTAAGCAGAAAGTGACTCTCATGTTGATGGATCAGGGGTCCTCTCGGCGTCACCTGGGAGACGCGTTCAAGCCCGACCCCAACAGCAGCAGCTTCAAGAAGCCCACTGGAGAGATGAACATCGCCTCTGGCTGCCCGGTCTTTGTGGCCCAAACTGTTCTAGAAAATGGGACATATATTAAAGATGATACAATTTTTATTAAAGTCATAGTGGATACTTCGGATCTGCCCGATCCCTGACAAGTAGCTGGGGAGGTGGATTTAGCAGAAGGCAACTCCTCTGGGGGATTTGAACCGGTCTGTCTTCACCGAGGTCCTCGCGCTCAGAAAAGGACCTTGTGGGACGGAGGAAGCGGCAGAAGGCGGACGCGCGCCGGCGGGAGGAGCCATGCGTGAGCACACCCGACACGTTTTCTAATAGACTAGCCACACTTCACTCTGAAGAATTATTTATCCTTCAACGAGATAAATACTGCTGTCAGAGAAGGTTTTCATTTTCATTTTTAAAGATCTAGTTAATTAAGGTGGAAAACATATATGCTAAACAAAAGAAACATGATTTTCTTCCTTAAACTTGAACACAAAACACACACACACACACACACACACACACACACACACACACGTGGGCATAGCTGGACATGTCAGCATGTTAAGTAAAAGGAGAATTTATGAAATAGTAATGCAATTCTGATATCTTCTTTCTAAAATTCAAGAGTGCAATCTTGTTTCAAATACAGTATATTGTCTATTTTTAAGGCCTCATCTGGTCTCTGTTTTAATAATTTGTTTGTCAGAAGACCCTGAAGTATACCTAGGTCTTTTTTTTTTTAAAGTCTCTAAATTCAGAATCATTTTTTAATTTAAAGTTCTACAAATAATTGTTACTGCAAAGATTTTATTTTAAAACATTGATAGACTGATATTTCTTGGAAGAAAATATAAAATATCAAACACTGGTTATCACTTGTGATAGGAAAGAGAATATTCAACCTGTTGTTATTTCTCGTTAGAAATGTAAACCTTCAATATCTGTCGTAGTTAATGACACGACTTCACAATTCTGAACGGAGCCTCGCTCATGGATGCTGTGCATCATTTTCAGATTTATAATTGTTTTCACCCTAAAATAGGGCATCCGTTGAACTTTGGAGTTCTAAACAAAATCCTGTAGGTGTCTGGCTTCTGCCCCATGTGTTTGGACGAGCTCTCTGTTGCTGACAGCACCGGCCTTCGGTCTCCACGTCAGGGGTGGGCAGGTGGCTGCTGGGGGAGGCTGCAGCTCGTTTCTCCATCCCGTCATCTTGCCGCGTGCCGGCGGCGGCCTCCGAAAGCAACCTTGTGGGTAGAGCTGGTGGCGTACGGTACATGTGCCTTAGATGTGACATGCTGCTTCTCCACCCTGGGTTTGCATTGAGCATAATTCTAGAAAGTGCTAGTTTAACCAGACTTTTCTCTCCACCACTAGATCTTTGTCTCTACAAGGGCCCTCAGACACCTCCGCACCTGCTGAGGGGAGGCCGGCCTCCACCGTCGGCTTCTGGAGCCTCCGCTGCTTAATAACCACAGATTCCAAATCTCTAGGCCCCACGAGCGAGCCGCCTGGTCCAAGTACGGCCTGGCCCCACCCCAAGGGAGGCAGGTGTGGAACAGAAGCCAAGCCTCTCTGTGTCCCCACCAGGGCCGTGGGCGCCCCACAGCCCGAAGCAGAACCCTCTGAGCATTCCAGAGCCTGCTGCCCAGGGGCCTGCCCAGGCTGACCGATGGGCGCTCCTGACCCCCACCCCGGCGGGAAGGGTGGCCACGGGGCCCGTTGTCCCAGCCTGCGCCTGCCCGGACAGCATTTCCTCAGCTCACTGTTTACTGTCTCTCTGTCCAACTGTGATTGAAGCCTGGAGCCCGCCCCTGCACCCCTTTTGCTATGCACCACGCCTCATGGTGCTCTTACCACTGATGGGTGCTACACGCGACGGGTGCTTCTTAGGCAAAACCAATGTGTGCGAACTGCCACACCTGTGCCACTCGCCCACAAGCCGCGCCCACGATTGGCCAGCTGGGCCGCGTGCGCCAGACTGCCTGCCTCGGCTCTCCGTGGCTGCACGGGGACAGCTCGGTGGGTGCCTGGTGGCCCACCTGTCTCTGGTGCTGCCATCTGTCCTGGGTGTGCCTTCGCCCCAGTGCCTGCTGGAAGTGCCCTCCGTCGCACCCCCGTGCCCCTAGCTCCTGTGAGGGGCCCGCCGCACCTGTTCGCGGTCAAAGCTCTGTTCTTATCTGCCTTTCCTTTACCCGCTCTCCTGGGATTGCTTTGGGAGAATGAGTGTCCCTGGTTCTGCCCTGTACGAGAGTCACGTGTCGCTGCTTGTAAAGGAGAGACTTCCTGCAGAAGCTGCAGAAACTGTTCCCTCGAAGGCGTCCCCACCTCAGGCCTGTCCCCTGGGCCTGTCCCCACCTGGCCTCGGGTGGTTTTCCTGAGACCAGGGATTAACACCAGGGACATCCCTGCAACTTTCCCTCCCTCCACAAAATGTACAGTATTAGATGTAGGATACACAACATCTTGGTGTGGTAAAAACAGTCTTCTCCCCTCTGGATTCAAGTCCCGCCGTGGCCCCAGAGGCAGCACCGTGTGTTGCTGGGACATCGCCAATAGCCCTTCCCAGACAGACGCCCCCACCCGAGGGTCCCACAGACATAACTCGAGTTCAGGCGTCCTTGAGGATGGGGCGGCCCGCGTCACACACTTCATCCTCGTGTTTGGGTGTACGGAGGTCTCTTCTGAGTGTGTCTTCCTCTCACGTGCCCCGCACTCCCGGCGGCGGGCAGGCCTCGCGCTCTGCACCCTCCGCTCCCACACACCCTCGCTCGGCGCTTGCCGCCTGGGCCGGCTGGGCCGGCTAGGGGCCGTGGTCTCCCTGCAGCTGAGGCCTGCTGACCCCTCGGCAGCGGACAGCCTTCCCCGCGTCATAGGGCCCCGGCAGCGAGCGTGAAGGGGGTGTGCACACCGTGCTTGGGGGTGCTGCTGCTTTACCAAGTGACCAAACTCCCAGCAGGACAGAACTGTTCAGTACTTTACAGAAACCAAGTCCATTGTGCATGAATTCAGCCGGTCTGCTTCCCGTCACCTTTGTAACAAAACAACGTCCCCTGTCCCCTTGCCTCAGCCTCGAGCAGTTTCTCCAGGATGCCGTGGCTCGGGCTGCTGCCAGCTGCCGGGCACGCCGGGTGGCTGGCCTGGGCCCGGCTCACGTGAGGGCACCGGCTCTTGTGACCACGCTGAGCCACGTGCAGGCTGCAGCCAGGCCTGGAAGCCTGACCTTCTGGTTCTAGGCCTAGTCCGGTGGAGCCTGCAGAGCTGGAAGTTGGGGTGTGTCTGTGATGAGATGGGGGCCAGGCTGTGAGTAGGGCCTTCCTAGCAGGGTTGGGCGTCTCAGTGAGGGGTGTGCACATGGGGGCCCTGTGGGGCCCTGACTTTGGGACCAGACATGGCAGCCCCAGTGGGCTGGAGGGAGCCTGCGTGGCCCCGACATATGCCGGGGTTTTCAGCTCGCCGTGCTCCAGTGCCAGGCGGCCAGGTCAGGATTTGTATCAGTTCTAGGAGCCATCAGGCAAGAAGGCGGTGCTGTCCGCTGAGTGCAAGCCTCGCCGGGGCCCTGGGGGAAGGCCTGGACCCACAGATGTGTGTTCCCTGTGCAGGTGGGCAGAGGGGCCCTCGTGGCCCAGGCTGTGGCCACTGCCCGTCACCCCTTCCTTTCCAGAGCAGCCTCTGCTGATGGACAGCACCTCTGTCCCTTTGATGCCACAATAGCTAGTTGAATGGGGAGCCCTTTGCTCAGGCAGCGTCTCCTGCGTCTCCCTCCTTTCTCCTTCCCTGCCCCGTCCCCATGCCCTTCTTGGTCTGTGGCACTGGGGAGCCATGGTGTGGCATGCTGGGGCTCCCACGCCTCGGGCCGCTTCCTCGGCCAGGGCCCCGCCAGCCTGCCACCCACCAGGGCTCTGCTGCACTGGCTGTGGCAGGAGGCTTCCCCTTGACGCCATGTGGCCCAGCTTGGTGAGGAGGCAGTTCCAGGCACAGTCTCCCGGGCCTGCCCACTGCCCCCCAGACCACCTGAGCCTGTGCCAGGGCCCTCAGTCGCCCTGGGCCAGGGGCCACGTGTCCCATGGATGTAGGCCATGCCAACGTCACATTCCAGCCCCCCTTTTGCTCAGTGGTGGCTGATGGCAGTTACCATGGTGGACCCATGTCCCAGCCAGAGGTGATGTCGGACAAAGGAAGGGGGTCTGGATGGGTCCTTAACCATTCTGTCCCAAGCGGGGTCATTCCTTGTCAGCCCAAGGGAAGGCCAGGGAGTGCTGGGCTGACACCTCCTTTCTTCTCTGCACAGGGAGGACTGGCATGAGGACAGCCCCTGTGCCCAGCCCTGGCAGGGGAGCAGTCTGCTGTCTCCGTGGGCGTCGCAGGGTTGGGCGGGCACAGCCTCCCTGTGGGCCCCTCCCTCAATCCCTGGCCCCTCCAGACTCATCCCTCATTTGTGCACCAAAAAGGCTCCGGCAGAGCTGTAAAATCCTGTTTTAAAATTTTAGTCCAGATCTTATTAGACTGCAAGAGGAGAGCTAGGAGAGCCTGGGAGCCCCTTCGCTTTTGTGTCTGGGAGATGAATGAGGGTCTGTCACCCAAATCTACTTCTCAGCCATGACCATGTTCTGTTTTCCGTTTGCAAATCTCAGCCGCTCTGTTTTCTCCCAAGTAGAAAGTGCCCACCGCGGCCCAGGCCAGGCAAGGTCAGTGTCAGCCGGCGACCTGGTCACGATGGCCGCCTCGCCCTGGCTGGTGCTGATGGTCACAGGCCTGGTGGGATCAGGGAGCCGGGCTGGCAGGTGGGGCCAGGAGCTTGTTGCAAAGGCAGTTTCCACCTGACCCGGCGTGCCCCACTCGGGCTCCCGCGCCTCGGGCCGCTTCCTGCCCCTGCAGGGCAGACGTGAGGAGCCTCGGTCGCCGCCTGGCTGGCTGGTATGCGAGTGAGGAGGCCCTGGGGGCCGAGCGGAGCCTGCATTTCATTTCTCCTGCTGCACTGTGTCTAGTCTGTCTCGTGAACTCACCGTGAAAAAGAGGCTGGAAGTCCAGGATCACTGTACCACTCCTGTTATTAGGTGATGATTGGTTTTTACAACTTAGTCCCCTCAGACAAGTAAGACACCCTTCCACAGCAAATTACATGACTTAATTGGAAAACACACACGCCGGCATTATCTCCAGTGGTTTCTATAAGAAATGCCTGTAGGAGGAGGTGTGAAGTGTGGAGGGCAGGATCGGCGCCGTGTGGCACCTGCAGAACCGCAGGCTCTTCCCAGCCCTGTCACCCAAAAACAAAGACCAAAGAAGGCCAATCTTGCATTCGACCCTGTATTTTTAATCTGCCTGTTTTAACACTTGCGTCTGTAGTAAGCGCTTGCGTGAGGACACACCTTGGCAGTCCAAGTGATCGTGACCAGTAATTCGGGTCCCGTTTTTCTGCTCTTCTAAGAAAAAACAAAAAGACCGTCAGTTATTGCCCCAGCAATAATCATGTTGTTACTGTGAGCCAGCAACATGCCTGACTTTCTGATAGCATTACTGTTTTATATTTTTGTTTACTGTATATTATGTGTGGTTTTATTTGGTATTTATTTGTGTTTTGAGGTCTTGCAATGTTTTTGTGTTTCTGATGCTAATAACTAAAGTTTGTAAGACTGTAGAATGCGAAACTCGGAAATGC